GAAAAATACACAATATCACATCATATACCATACAAATACAAAAGTTGTACCGTGTAGATGTATGCTTGGGTAACCACTCATCGCGTGTGCCATATGATGAAGTGGTCCGACTAGCCACATTTTCCAAAAGAATAACTTCATTCTCTAGCGCATAAATTTTCAACCTTGTTAATTTACGATCAATCATTATTTTTATGATTTACGTTGCCAGAAACAATGGTCTAATGATCCAACATCACCCTTTCACCAGTCGGTTGTTGTGCACTAATCCGCGGGTAATTATAGAATATGCATTGAATTTCCTTCTTGCTGACAAAGGTGTCTAGCACAGGAAGAACCAGCAGAATGAACAGAAGGAAAAGGACAAAACTCCCCTTCTTCGAGCAATAACCCTAACGAATTTTTAAAGGTAACAGTTGGAACCACTTAACGACAGGAAAGGCTTAATGTTTCATGGGGAAGTTTAAACATTCCTTTGCAACCGATGCAGTGTGTGTGTTAACGTCCGTTAACGTCCTCAATGAAAATTCTCATGTTAACGATTAACAACAACCCTGATCATGATCATATAGCTGCATCAAATGCAACTCCCTTAGCTTCTCGTAAAATCAAAACTCACCAACCACGTTCTAGTTACCTACTGAAAATGGACATCCATAGCAAAGAGAAAAACATCATAATTCCCACTTGAGAATTTCGAGCGGTGGCTCACAAAGGCATGTTGAGAAATTGTAACAATAAACATAACTGCCACTCTTCGCTTTGGGAAATCGTTGGCTTTAAGAGTGCATTAAAATCATCGCAACTGTGCGGTGGCGTAGTTCAGCAGATCACCAAGTCTAAGCTCAATCAACTACTCGTGTAAGTGGCTCTCAAGTTCCTACCATCCAGATGCATTATGTAAACATATATAGTCTACTAGTAGCGATTCTTTGCTGCAACTCATATTCATCTCATATGCCGCAGATGAATTTCGGCTTCTGCGTGCACCGACTTATGGTTAAACTGTTGGTGTTTGTTTTTCTTTCGTACCCATGAGAGAGAAAAACATCAATAACAAAAAATATACGCTTGGTCGGTAATTTGAGCCCTTCATTGCGGTGGTATTGCTGCAATTAATCCCTGAATTGAGAACCTCGTCGGCTAATTGCTTTAGGAAGTCAGACGATTTTTCAAAATGCCATAAATCTAACGTCTAGTCTGAAACAATCCGTAAGCATACGTGTAATTTTTCTGTAGAGGGATTGTTATTATTAGAAAACGGGTAACATCTATGAGCTCGCGAACATTTACCAACATTATATAGTGTACATCGGGTTACAATGTTAGTAGATTTTATGTTAGCGGATTTAGATTGATTTTTTGGTGAGTTGTGATTTGATGATTTTGTTTAATAGCTTTAGGTTTCGGCTTACTTCTTTTTCAGCCATATTCAGACTTGTTTAATAATATGTAAAATAATAATAAAATCCAAACAAAAATTATATTTATTGCAGACACACGAGTGTTTTCCTTGGCAAGGTTTGCTTTCTTCTATTCGTTGTCCGTTTGCGCGCATTATTGATCAGTTGGTTGGTGTTTTGGTTTTTCGTATACCGTTCTCAGTTTGTTGACCATATTATTGATTGTATGTTAGAGTGCTTAATTTTGAAACAGTTTTAGATTTATTATAGGCCATTCTCCATTTTCTGAATCAAACACCAAAAAATGGTAAAGATTGATGAAGGCTTAGAGGTTTCGCAAATAGCTTGAAATGTGTTTGGGAATTAGTACACCAGTAAAATTCAGATTATTTTCTGTCTAGTTGTCCAAATGCAGATCAGATTTGTCAAGGCCTTCGCAGTTCCTCGCCTGGTAACTGAAGTCCATGCACTTAAAGCATCACCACGTTCTCCCCTAGATGTATCAGTTGCGGATCGGCTCTTCCTTTTAGGAGGAGATCTTCGTACTAGGGGTATCCCACTCTAAACTTTATATTTCTCGCGATGCACTCAAAAAGATCTTACTGATATCTGAAAAAAAAAACTTTTTAATAACTACATATAAAGATTCCATTAATTTTGGCGTTCACGAAACCTCGCTGAGCTCGCAACCACTTCTTGAATAGGGTATCTGCCCATAACTCGTATAGCAGCTATACCAGCTCTATCCGCCACAAAGTTATCATTATCGGGAGGGACTCGATACGGTTCCGCAATGATTGCAACGTCGCACTTTGTTTCTGTTGTCGACTGCTACTACAGTTGCTGAGCAGTGGCGCAATGATTGAGGTTTATTTGGGTTACCTCCATTACTGTTGGCCTGCCATCGCCTTTTTGTATGCTAGGCATTTGAAGCCTCCCTTCGTATGATCGTTTCCGTCCTCTTTTTTTTGCAGAGCATACACCTCGGTTGCTTCTTGCAGCCTCTTGCAATATGACATTTCTCCTCGCATTTCCTGCACAGATCAGATATGTCAGGGCCCTTGCAGTTCCTCGCTTGGTGGCCGAAACCCATGCACTTGAAGCATCGCTCCAGTTGCTTAGTAACCCGAGCAGTGGCTTTCAGCGCGCCTACTGACCACGTCTCCCAGATCGCAGTGCACTCTCAACGCACTTCTCAGCTCCGCTTATGTAGTGATCTCGTCCAGATCCCTGCACTCGACTACTGTTTCCTGGGATAGAGCTCTTACACTCGCCCTTTCGCCAAGAGACTTTTCGACGAGCTGCTTGAAAGCTGAGCTCTTGATCGTGGGATCCTTCTTCAGCTCAAAAAGCATCTCGCCTTTCTGGGTGCGCCTGGTTTTCACCACGTTCTCTCCTAGTTGCTTCAACTCCGGATCTTCTCGAAGCTTCCGGAGGAGTGCTGCATACGACGTTTTGTCTTTTGCTTCGATGATCAGAGCATCGCCCTTACTTCGCTCCTGACGAGGCCTGGGTTTCTCCTTCTTCTGTTCATCTTTCTTCTTCACTTCTTTTTCCTTCCGTTTTTTCCACTTCTCCTTCGGCTTCTCGACGGTACGCCATCCTTCCTCCTTGTTGTCTTCCTTGTCGATCTTGACTTTTTTTAACTCCTCTTCATCTCCTGGCGTTTCTCTTTGGTCTTCTCCGAGCGTGGATTTCGATGTCCCTTCGGCGTTTCCTGTGCTTCAGCTGCTGCTTTTTTCTTGGCTTCGATCAGTGCCCTTTCGGCAGTCACGGATCTTCTCCTCAGCGCATTCTGTTCACGTTCGGCCGCAATAATGGTGGTTTTGATGCCCGTCATCATTTCTTTTATTACCTTGTGGACGTTGGGGTGTGCTACTGCTGGATTTCGGTGTGAACATCTGGCTTAGAACAAAACCTAGCTCTCCTTGGTGTCCTTGCTGCTCACCTTGGGGCTTACTGCTGCTGCTAGAACTCGCTGTGGCCTCCAGGTTCAACACAGGTTATCTCTGCAATATCTCACTCCTTGCGTACACGTTCGCTCCTCCGTTTTCACTGTCTGGCGTCTTGCCGTTGTTCGTCATATTTTTTTTGTTTGTTCGTTTTTATTTTATTGTCCGTTTTTCTCCATTGTGTTGGGTCCCCCCTCCGGGCCGCTATCTCTACTCGTTGTATGTAGTCGCCTATCGTGATCCCATGGTTATCTATGTAATCAGGGAGGTCATGCTAAGGTTGACACGGTCCTTCATGGGGGCCGTGTTCAGAGCGAGATCAGCGTAAGTCAGCGTAAAAACTCGTTTGAATTATTAAAGGCTGCATAGCCGTTGCAATACTGTATTATTATTAGAATTGTTTGTATTGATTAAACATGGCAATATAATGACAATAAGCTGCTTGATGACGCCTGGTTCAGGGTTGTTAATCGTTGACATCAGCGTTAACGTCGTCAATAGGATTGTACATTGAAGACGTTACCGGACATTAACGTCATTAACAATTCTGGTCTGGTCCCTTTAAACATCTTGAGCCAAAATTCACGGAACTTCTTTGAGATGAGCCTGGAGTCAGTTTCTTTTTTTTTTTTGTCGCATTCAACTGATTGTTCTCACTCGGCTCTCGAAAGAAGCAGGCCACGCGGTCGTCTGTTTACTCGTCAGCAACCATTGTGTTGTCCTCCTCATTGTTCTTCATCATCAGTTCTTTCGGTCGAAGCGTCGTCGACTTTGGAAAGCAACCGTTTAGTGATGAGTATGATAGTGCTGACCACGTTTTGCGTCCATTTCTACAATGGAAGTGCTCTTAGTATTAAGATGTTTTGTATAGTGAACAAGAATCCTCGGCTCTGTAAAGAGCATTATCAAATAAATAAATAAATTAAACTGATTGTTCTTTGCAATAAGCGTTGCTTGACAGTTTTCAATAAACAGCACACGGAACACCAACCAAAACTACTCGTAACATAAAAAAGCAGAGCAAAATAAAAAAAGTACGTGAGAAAAAATATTTGCGTCTAACTTCGACCACAGCATATTTTACTTTTTTTCTTTGATTTGTTTTCCATCGATCTTGTTTTGCGTACTGAGCACCAATACTTCCGACGCCAGGGAGGCAGCTCTCACACTTGGACACTACCTATCGACCCATCCTACAATGGAAGTGCTCTGAATCGGGGACCAACGGCTTTACTAACCTCATTCCTTATCATTGAATTAACATGTTGATATAATCTACTCCTTATTATTTATGTTCACAATATTGGAAGTTTTAAATTTGTTTTAGTTGTTTCGGATAAACACATAAAATTTCTAAAAACACCAACCGCGAGAGGAGCAACTGTTCAGCAATTCATTCATAAAATGTATTCAGGTATGTATCATATTTTCAATCCCTGATATCCTTACCGCAGATCGCTCACGGTGGAAAAGAACATCAACAACAACAACAACAACTACAACCACAGAAACAACAACAACAACAACAACGACGACGACGCACCGACGCGAGCTTGTCGTAAAACGTGCTTCACAAAACTTTTGAATGAACGCGAAGCGCAACATTTGAGTCGTAGCCGGTTTCAGTTAGTCTGTGGACTTCAACGCGTTTGGTGTTGCATATCTACGTTCCGAGTTTTCCTCACGGGTTGCATTCTGTAGTATCTATCTATAGCTGATGTGGTAAGCGGAGTGAGGCGTGAGAAAATATTCCTTATTTGTAGTGGCGTGTTTACGTTTTGTGTGTGTCGAGTGTTGGCTTTCGCATTATATGCACCAAAAGTAGATATTAAATCATTATCAATCTTTGATCTGCTTTTCATAAAGTGAACGACATAAGAAGCAAAATAAGGAATCATCGAAACAGGCAGTGCATTGGCGAGCTGAAGAAATAATTGAAGCAGAAGGTGAAAATATGTAATCGAAGAATTTGGCTGTTGGATAGGCTCATGCTGATAATTCGTTGTCATTCGTGGTGAACGATAGGTGTTTGTGGATTGAGCTTCGAGTATGAAAAGAAGAATTACTTGGCAACAATCTGGAAAGTGTCTCTAAGGATGAGGCATCAAACAACTATGGCTATGTTAAATTAATGGGATCTGCGGTTAATTGCAGCATGGTGGAATTGGAAGCAAGAAGGTATATCAGTTTATGAATAATAATTAGTTACATGTTACATTTAGTATTTGTATATATTTGTAGAAGTTGCTGTGACAAGTTTCATTTTGATTCAGTATTCAGGTTTTATAAATTGGTGTGCAACAACATTGAAAATAGTGTAGACACTGATTTCTTTTCACATGAAAATTTTAGAGTTTTAACAAACAAAAGTTCTGTTTTCAAACATCTAGCCAATTTTGAGAAATGCTACGTAAATTAATTGTATTTTTTTCTTTTTGATCTCTAAAAAAGCACAGATTTCAAAATTTATGCTTGTTCACTAAATATGATTACGTTAGTTTCAGCCGACTAATTCTCCCAGAAGGTGATGATCTGGTAGGGAATCTACAGTTGTGGCGATAAAATCTCTGGTTACTCGAGAAAAAAAATCGGTACCCATATTCGTGAACGTGAATCATAGTTCACGATCCGCGTGTGAAAGGAAATGTACACCGTGAACTTTAGTGCACGGCCCTCGTTCACGAATATGGTAACGGATTATTTTTTGCCGAGAATTAATTTATTAAGGCCCCACTAAGGACCTGTAAAGTTTTGACCAGATTTGTCAAGCTGCCACTACAGCCGCGACAACGAGGTGGATTTAATTGAGAAAGTGCCCAGAAACTAGTTTGGAAAATGTTGGTCCTAAAAATTGTTTTTTTTTTGTTTTTATTTTCCATTTGATTCTATACTAATTACTACAATCGAAATACAGTAAATAATTTTGGCCAGGTTTTTGTACTAGCTACTAGCAAAGTTGCGTCATTTAATTTCTAGTTAACCCTTATGTGTGCGAGGATTTTTTTTGCTTTTTTTCCACCGTGTTATTCAAATAAGGGCTGTTTACCCGGATATCCCGTCACTCAGTTAACGGATTAAAAACAAACTGGGCGTGACTGGGGTTGTGGATCCGGTAGCTAGGCCAAACCCTCTAGCGCCGTGAGTAAATAAATAAATAAATAAATAAATAAATAATTAAATAAATAAATAAATAATTAAATAAATAAATTACTTAATAAATTACTAAATAAACAAATAAATAACTAAATAAATAAATAAATATATAAATAAATAAATCAATCAATTAGTCAATCAATCAATCTGAATTGGCCGGTGGGTACTATTTTCTTACCGTGTAGTATCGACCAATCAACTCAAGGGCCGGGGACCAACGGCTTGACTTCCGGCCCGACTCTGATTGAACCCATGCCCTTTGGAGTGAAACGAAGTCACGCTTATCACTACACCACCGGCGCCGCTGAACAATTTTTCTTATGGTTTAAAGTAATATTCTTAATATCAACTTACGTGGTCTGTAGATAATTCTAACTGCTTTTCAGGTAGCGCTCAAGTATTTACATGTATACTCTCCAATGTAACCAAGAAGCTTGGGAACAACACAACGCTCACGGTCAGCGAAGCATAAGATAATTTTCTGATAAAGAACCTGTTTCATGAAGCTATAATTAGTCTGAACTGTACCCACGTTTCAGAGATGATTCATTTGACGCGGTAACCCTTACATTTTTGCCATGGTTAAACGATCCGTTGACTTCATCCGGCTATCCTGTTCAAGTTGTATTTTTTGTCCATTCTAGGGCGATAGCGGTCGAGTCGAGACAACAAAACGAAGGGTTGCCAGAATGTGAACGTAGAATAGGTTAACTTGGGTGAATAATAATCATCATCAAGTCAAAGTCATTATGGGAAGGAAAAGCAACGGTCAAAGTGAGAAGAGTCTACATGCATTCTGCTTTCGAAATTTGCTTCCGGTGTACCTTTTCGACCGATAACTATAAATTTGGGGTAATGAAGAGTGTTCCTTCGATTCTTACTGATTCCTGATTGCAAGTTTTCTTTTTTATTTTATTTTTATTTCATTTCTCCAACATGGGAATTTTATCCAAGTGAAACCGGTGTCAGCGAACAATTAAGAAAAAATCATCTTACATTATGGGAAAATATCACGTCAATTTCTTGGCGGGAGCCAATTTAGGTGCGGAAAAACAAACGGAGCATACTTTCAGCAAAAGCACTTTGCTCAATTTTGGTGCAATTTGAAGCGCAAACACGCGCTCAGTGGGCAAGTTTGTATTTATATGGCTTTCGAATAAATGATAATTTCACCTCACTTAATATTTGAGCTACAGAAAGCTTCCGCAAAAATGGTCACAGCAGAACAATCCATGGACTCCAAATGGAGATCAATACTTTATGCAATTGTGGATGCGTCTGCAATCCATTGAAAACTGGATTATTGTGTCATTTTTCTTTTCGACAGACGCAAACACATCAACTACAACAACAGATGAAACTCGTACGTTTGTTTCTCCAGATCGCGGGGTCGGCCAATCTTCAGCTTGCCACACACTTTCTGCGTCTACGTCTGCGTCTATTAGGTTGATCTGGTGGCAAAGTGGCAGACGGCTTCTCATAATTGGAGTGGCTGGTGCTGATTTCAAAATGCACACCTGATTTCGTCGTATCCGAAATCTTAGATGCGCCATTTCAGTTTCGATTTCTAATGATTTTTTTTTGCTTTCTGGGTGTGCGAAAGCAATAAAAATATGAGGAATTCATTCCACAGCATGGGCAGGATTGTCTCTGTGGGCTGATAGACTCAATTGCTTATTTCCATTCATGGCTGATGCGAACTTGCTATAGTATGCTAATAAATGCAACAGCTGCGTTGATAGACGGCTTTTTGTGTAGGCATCACTTTAAGAATAAATATCAAATAAATCTTTTCTGCTTGAAAGAATGTTTCATTCCGTGCATTTGTGAGCGTACAACTGAGAAAATGTTTTGAAAATCAAGAAAATTATTGCACAACGATATTGATGCTCTTTAACTAATCAGATCTGAATTACATAGGGGAAGGATGTCACTAGTGCTCCCCTAATTGGCCATGCGGCTTAACTCGTGTTCAAAATAAGTGTTTCCATATTTTTCAACGCAACGTGTTTCCATATTTTTTCTGTTTACATGCTGTTCTGCATTAAGACTAACTTCTTGTGGAAGACATTTTGATTTTTTATGAAAAATTCAAGGTTATGCGCCTATGCGGTTATGCGGTTTTTTGCCTATGTAAAGTTGATCTACATGACCTGATTTAAAAAAATTGTTTAAATTTAATTCATTTATGATTTTAAATTTATTTCTTCGTGAGTATGACGTTCTAACAGAAAATTTACACACAGCTTTGCGTTCTTTGAATTTTTGAATCAATTTCTGATGGGAAAGGCTTATTCCTTTCCGCAGTCATATATTTTGAGGTGAACACAAAGATTAGTATTTCCTGTTCCGAGAAAATGTTCAAATCGAACTGGGAATCTAATCGGCCATCTTTACCTTTATTGGCTAGGAGAATATAAGGTTAGGTATACTAAACAGGAATGGTGATCGATTGTTAATTGTTAAGATTACGAATATTTCAGGCATAACATTTGATAACGGCACAAAAGCATTTGTAAAGCCCTTTACACGTGAACCAAAGTACGCTCACGCAAACCAATACCACTTTCGGAAAAGCTAGAGTTGCCCCTATCCGATTATGTCATTGGTTTGCGTAAGCATACTCCGGTTCGCGTGTAAAGGGCCTTAAAAAGTTTGTTTACAAAAGCTTTTGTACCGTTATCAAATGTTACGCCTGATTTCATGTTTAATACTTTTGAGTGCCCAGTAATCGTTGTTCCCATCTCGTTATTTATTGAACGATTTTATTTTAACAACTTCCAATCGATCAGGAATTGCTTCCAGTCTTTGATTTTGCAATGGTTCAGCATACTTTTTGCTGAGTTTTTGAATAATTAAAAATACCATTGCAAACCTTTTTAAAACCCCATTGAAAACCTTTTTAAAACCCCAATAAATCCAAGCTTGCAAATCCTCATTGCAGCTAAACTGCCGGTAATCGCAAGTCAGTCCCATCTGCATTTTAATCAATTTTGAGTTAGCATCATTATTCACTTTATCTTTCTATGTTTTTTGAGATGTGCTATTGAAAAAAGGTGGTTTGTTTAAGAAAAATGAAAAACAATACCAAGTCAAACTGTCCCACACCGAAAAGTAACCGCAAGTCAGTCCCATTAGAAAAAAATATGTTAGAAATGTTAGACAACACATCGCATCATGAGATTTGTCTCAAGACAGATTTTGTCCACTTCCCCTAGGGTATCTGGAACATGTCCTGATGTGGCCAATATAGTTCTTACGATACTTAGTTTGACCGCCAATGGATGGCTTTGAATTCTCATGTGATTTGATGTATCGCTTGATGGATTTTGATTTAAAAAGGATTTACCACTTCCTCGGGTATACCCGGAACATGTCCGGGTTTGGCCAACATGGTGCTGGTCACTGATAATGACTCTTATCGATCTTATTTTTGAATTCTCATGTGAATTATGTGAATAATCAATTGATTTATCGCATGGTGGGTTTGGCACGTTTATGAAAAGCTCTGGTCTGATGAAGACCCATACTCACCGGAATACGTTCCGGCCTTTGCTCTGGAACCAGCAAAACAAATCCAGAAACATTCAATAACGTTCTATGGGACCATGGTATCTTTCTACTGTTCAATACTGTGCTAAACTAATGCAGCATCGTCATAGAATTGTGACTGACTTGCGGTTATTTTTTTCTCTTTGACGTTAAATGTAACCGCAAGTCAGTCCCATTCAGATTTTGGCCATAAAATAAAAATTTCACGATATTTTTTTCTATATTTTATGGTAAACATAGATGCATTCTATCACATTGTACGTTTATTTTTAAATTTATCCCTCCAAAAAAAGTGTCAAATCAGAAAAGTTGTAAAATCTTTGAACGCCGTTTTCTCATTTCCAGTTTTTTACAGATGGGACTGACTTGCGATTATGGGCAGTAAAATGCTTTATTGGGTTTGTGAAGCTATGAGATAGCTTAATAATAATTTTTATTTCATAGACACATAAAACCTAACAATTTAACTTTTA